CTCTGGGACAGCCGGGGTGTACTGGGGACACCTCTGGGACAGCCGGGGTGCGCTGGGGACACTGGGGACATCCCAGGGACAGCTGGGGTGTATTGGGGACACTGGGGACGGGTGGGTGGGATGAAAGGCAGTGAGGGACACTGAGGGACAGTCAGGGTGCAGTGGGGACATTGAGAACACTGCAGGGACAGCCGGGGTGCACTGGGGACACTGAGGACATGTCAGGGACAGTCAGGATGAACTGGGGACACTGGGGACACCCCAGGGACAGCCGGAATGCTCTGGGGACACCCCAGCGACAGCCGGGGTGCAGCAGGGACACCAGGAGTGCCCCAGGGAGAGTCAGGGTGTAATGGGGACACTGGGGACACCTCAGGGACAGCCAGGAATGCCCCAGGGAGAGTCAGGATGCACTGGGGACACTGAGGACACTGCAGGGACAGTCAGGATGCACTGGGGACACCAGGAATGTCCCAGGTCCAGTCAGGGTGCAATGGGGACACCTCAGGGACAGCCGGGGTGCAGTGGGGACAGTGGGAACACCCTGGGGACAGCCGGAATGCACTGGGGACACCCCAGGGACAGTGAGGGTGCAGTGGGGACAGTGGGGACACTGCAGGGACAGCCAGGATGCACTGGGGACACCAGGAATGCCCCAGGGAGAGTCAGGGTGCAGTGGGGACATTGAGAACACTGCAGGGACAGCCGGGGTGCAATGGGGACATTGAGGACACCCCAGGGACAGTCAGGATTCACTGGTGACCCTAGGGACAGCCGGAATGCTCTGGGGACACCCCAGGGACAGCCGGGATGCTCTGGGGACAACCCAGGGACAGCCGGAATGCTCTGGGGACAACCCACGGATAGTCCGGGTGCAGTGGGGACACTGAGGACATGTCAGGGACAGTCAGGATGCACCAGGGACACCCCAGGGACAGTCAGGAATGTCCCAGGGAGAGTCAGGGTGTAATGGGGACAGTGGGGACAGTGGGGACACCCTGGGGACAGGTGCAGCCAGGGTGCAGCAGGGACACCAGGAATGCCCCAGGGACAGTCCAGGTGCACTGGGGACATCAGGAATGTCCCAGGGAGAGTCAGGGTGCTACGGGGACCTTGAGGACACCATAGGGACAGTCAGGAAGCACTGGGGACACTGGGGACACCCTAGGGACAACTGGAATCCTCTGGGGACACCTCAGGGACAGTCTGGATGCATGGGGACACTGGGGACACTGCAGGGACAGCCGGGGTGCACTGGGGACACTGGGGACACCCTGGACACATCCGGAATGCTCGGGGACACCCCAGGGACAGTCAGGATTCACTGGGGACACCGGGGACACCTCAGGGACAGCCGGGATGCTCCGGGGACACCCCAGGTAAAGCCAGGGTGCAATGAGGACACTCCAGGGACAGCCGGGGTGCAGTGGGGACACCCTAGGGAGAGTCAGGGTGCAGTGGGGACACTGGGGACACCCTGGGGACAACCGGAACGCTCTGGGGACACCACAGGGACAGCCGAGGTGCAGTGGGGACACTGAGGACACATCAGGGACACTCAGGATTCACTGGGGACAGCGGGGACACCTCAGGGACAGCCGGGGTCCAGTGGGGACACTGGGGACACCCTGGGGACAGCGAGGGTGCAATGAGGACACCCCAGGGACAGTCAGGATTCACCGGGGACACCTCAGGGACAGCCGGGATGCTCCGGGGACAGCGGGGACACCCCAGGATGCTCCGGGAACAGCCGAGGACACACCGGGGACACACCGGGGACACACCGGGGACACGCGGAACGCCACCCATCCACCGGGCCACCCCCGCCTCTCCCCCGGGATCCACCCCCGCCCTCCCGGTGACCGGAGGCCACGGATGCCCCCTCCCCCCCCCTTCCGGCTCCGGTACCACCGAGGAGCGGCCCCGAACCTCCCCCCCGCCCGGTCCGGAGACTCACCGGGGGCTCCGGCGGGGCCGGGGCGCCATGGCCGGGGCTGGCACCGGCACCGGCACCGGGGCGGGACCGGCGGCGGCGGCGGTGACGTCATGGCTGCACCGGGCCGGCCCCGCCCTGCGCCCCCGCCGCCGCCAATCCGCGCGCACCGGGCATCGCCCCCCGCCCCCGTTCCCGTGATCACCGGAACCGCCCCACACGGAGCCGGGACCGCCGGAAACGGAGCCGGTACCGCTGTCCCAAACGGAGCCGGGACTGCCGCCCCTCCCTCCCGGTGGGAATCGGTACCGAGCCCCGGTGGGGCTGCACCGGGATGGGACCGGACCGAACCCCCCCGAGCGAACGGAATCGGAATAAACGGGGACCCCAAAGGGATCCGACAGATCGGCAGCTGGAACTGGGACCGGGGGACACCGAGACCCCAGGGCATTCCAAAAGCCCCAAACATCACCAGGACACCCCCAAAAATCCCCCATGGCACCCCAAACATCCCAGGGCACCCCCAAACATCCTCCACAGCATCCCAAACACCTCCCAGGATACCCCAAATACCCCCGAGGGCACCCGAAACACCCCCAAACACCCCAAATATCCCCAACCACCCCCAGAGCATCCCAAACAACCCCCAGGACAACCCAAACACCCCCCAGGGAATCTCAAACACCCTCCAGGGCACCCCAAAACACCTCTCAGGGAACCCCAAAAGAATCCCAGGGCACCCCAAACACCCCCAGGGCACACCAGAGACCCCCCCAGGGTACCCCAAACACTTCCAGGGCACCCCCAACACCCCAAATCCGACTCATCACACGACACAGGGACACCGAGCACCCACCTCCATCACTTTATTGTGGGGGGGGACCCGCAGAACAGAATTTCTGTCCCCCCAAAACCCCTCAGGGTGTGGCAGAGACCCCCAAAATTTTGGTATTTCTGTCCCCCAGAATTTGGTGATCCCCTCCTGTGGCCGCTCCATCCCCACGGAGGACAGGAGGATCTGGATGAAGTTTCTGGGGTTTCTGCGGCTGCAGAATCAGCAGAGCTGGAGCTGCAGCTCATCCTGGCACTGGAGAAGGACTCAAGGACCCCCAAATCCCATGGTGAGGGTACCCCAGAATTTGGTGATGTCTGTCCCCCAGAATTTGGTGATTTCCCTCCTGTGGCCACTCCATCCCCACCAAGGACATGAAGGTCTGGATGAGGTTTCTGGGGGTTTTGGGGTTTCTGTGGCTGCAGAATTAGCAGAGCAGCCCATCCTGACACTGCAGGTCTATAGCCCCCCCCCCCCCAAGTCCCACAATGAGGGTCCCCCAGAATTTGGTGATTTCCCTCCTGTAGCCGCCCCATCTCCATGGAGGCCATGAAGGTCTGGATGGGGTTTCTGGGCTTTTTGGGGTTTCTGGGGTTGCAGAACCAGCAGAACTGGAGCTGCAGCTTCTCCTGGCACTGGAGAAGGACTCAAGGACCTCCAGGTTCCCCGGGTGTCCCCCAGAACTTGGTGATTTCCCTTCCGTGGCTGTTCCATCCCCACCAAGGACATGAAGGTCTGGATGGGGTTTTTGCGGTTTCTGTGGCTGCAGAATCAGCAGAACTGGAGCTGCAGCTCCTCCTGGCACTGGAGCAGCTCTCCAGCCCCCAAACCCATGCTGACACCCCAGGTCCCCCGGGTGTCCCCCAGAATTTGATGATTTCCCTCCCCAGCCACCTGTGGCCGCTCCATTCCCATGGAGAACAGGACGGTCTGCAGCCCCATCTTGGGGTTTCTGTGAGTGCAAGAATCAGCAGAGCAGCTCATCCTGGCACTGGAGCAGCTCTCCAGCCCCTCCAGGTCCCATGGTGAGGGTCCCCCAGAATTTGGTGATTTCTGCCCCCAGAAATTGGTGATTTCCCTCCCATGGCTGCTCCATCCCCATGGAGGACGGGAAGGTCTGGATGGGGTTTTTGGGGTTTCTGTGGCTGCAGAATCAGCAGAACTGGAGCTGCAGCTCCTCCTGGCATTGGAGAAGGACTCAAAGCCCCCCCAAGTCCCACAGTGACACCCCAGCTCCTGCAGGTGTCCCCCAGAATTTGGTTATTTCCCTCCCCAGCCTCCTGTGGCAGCTCCATCCCCACGGAGGATGGTAGGATCTGGATGAAGTTTCTGGGGTTTTTGGGGTTTCTGTGGCTGCAGAATCAGCAGAACAGCTCATCCTTGCACTGGAGAAGGTCTATAGCCCCCCCCCCCCCCAAGTCCCACAATGAGGGTCCCCCAGAATTTGGTGATGTCTGTCCCCCAGAATTTGGTGATTTCTGTCCCCCAGAATTTGGTGATTTCCCTCCTGTAGCCGCCCCATCTCCATGGAGGCCATGAAGGTCTGGATGGGGTTTCTGGGCTTTTTGGGGTTTCTGGGGTTGCAGAACCAGCAGAACTGGAGCTGCAGCTTCTCCTGGCACTGGAGAAGGACTCAAGGAGCCCCAGGTTCCCCGGGTGTCCCCCAGAATTTGGTGATTTCCCTTCTGTGGCCGCTCCATCCCCACCAAGGACATGAAGGTCTGGATGAGGTTTCTGGGGTTTTTAGGGTTTCTGTGGCTGCAGAATCAGCAGAGCTGGAGCTGCAGCTCATCCTGGCACTGGAGAAGGACTCAAAGCCCCTCAAGTCCCATGGTAAGGATCCCCCAGAATTTGGTGATTTCTTTTCCCCGGAATTTGGTGATTTCCCTCCCCCAGCTCCATCCCCATGGAGGACGGGAAGGTCTGGATGGGGTTTGTGGGGTTTCTGGGGTTGTAGAATCAGCAGAACTGGAGCTGCAGCTCCTCCTGGCACTGGAACAGCTCTCCAGCCTCCCCAGGTCCCATGGTGACACCCCAGGTCCCCCGGGTGTCCCTCAGAATTTGGTGATTTCCCTCCCGTGGCCGCTCCATCCCCAGGGAGAACAGGAGGCTCTGCAGCCCCATCTTGGGGTTTTTGGGGTTTCTGTGGCTGCAGAATCAGCAGAGCTGGAGCTGCAGCTCCTCCTGGAGGCTCTGCAGCCCCCCAGGTCCCACGCTGAGGGTCCCACACCAGGCTCAGCCCACAGCTCCAGGCTCCAGGCTCCCGTTGGCTCCTCGGGCTGGGCTGGTCGAGGCCGTTCCCTGTGGCTGCTGCTCCTGCTGGGGCTGCAAGGGAAGGTGACACTGCTGGGACAGCACAGGGACATGGCAGGGGGTGCTGGGACACAGCCTGGGGCTGGCAGTGTCACTCCCACACGAATTGGGAACTCCACAAGGTGGGAGCACCAACAGACCGGGAGGGTTTTTGCTCTGGGCTCTTGTTTGAAACCAACAGTTACAGAAAAACTGGGGGTCTTCAGTCAGAGCCTGGGGTGTGACACCCCCTCCCCACCCCAAAACTTGGCCTTCACCCCATGACAGGACAGTGGGTGACATCACCTGTCACTGTGGGGACACCCCAAAAAAGCCCCAAGCTCCAAAGAGAATGAGAGGAACAAATTTCCGTTATCCCAGTGAAAATTAATCCACCCCAAAGAAGCCGCCGGCTCCAGAAAGGATGAGAGGAACAAATTTCAGTCAATAAATTTCAGTTATCCCAGTGAAAAGTAACTCCAAGGAAGAAAGGAGAACCCCAAAACTTGGCCATCACCCCAGGAACCATGACAGGACAGTGGGTGACATCGCCTGTCACTGTTGGGACACCCCAAAGAAACCCCAAGCTCCGGAAAGGATGAGAGGAATAAATTTCAGTTTTCCCAGTGAAAATTAATCCACCCCAAAAAACTCCAGGCTCCAAAGAGGAACAAATTTCAGTTTTCTCAGTGAAAATTAAGACTCCAAGGAAGAAAGGAGAACCCCTAGGCCTCAAAACTTGGCCTTCACCCCATGACAGGACACTGGGTGACATCGCCTGTCACTGTGGGGACACCCCAAAATAGCCCCAGGCTCCAGAAAGGAAAAAAGGAATAAATTTCAGTTTTCCCAGTGAAAATGAATCCATCCCAAAGAAGCCCCAGGTTCCAAAAAGGAACAAATTTGAGTTATCCCTGTGAAAATTAAGACTCCAAGGAAGAAAGGAGAACCCCTGGGATGTGGCCCCAAAACTTGGCCTTCACACCATGACAGGACACTGGGTGACATCACCTGTCACTGTGGGGACACCCCAAAATAGCCCCAGGCTTCAGAAAGGAAAAGAGGAATAAATTTCAATCAATAAATTTCAGTTATCTCAGTGAAAAGTAACTCCAAGGAAGAAAGGAGAACCCCAAAACTTGGCCATCACCCCAGGAACCATGACAGGACACTGGGTGACATTGCCTGTCCCTGTGGGGACACCCCAAGCTCCGGAAAGGATGAGAGGAATAAATTTCAGTTTTCCCAGTGAAAATTAAGACTCCAAGGAAGAAAGGAGAACCCCTGGGCTGGGAAACAACTCCCCTAAAAACCCTCAACTGGGGTTAAGAGGTTCATAGAGCATCCCAGACATCTCCATTGTCCCAGACATGCCCAGGACAAGGGTGGCACCCACAGCCTGGCATTCCTAATGCCACCCAGACCATGGGCACACCCAGCTGCTGTGTAGGAGGAAGAGGAGGGAAGAAAAAAAACCCCATAAAATATATTAAATCAAGGATCCCCAGCTCAGGGATGACCCCCAAATATGGGATTAAGGATTCCCCAGGATGGGATCACCCCCAAATATGGGATCAAGGATTCCCCAATATGAAATCAAGGATTCCCCAGCTCAGGGATGACCCCTAATATGGGATCAAGGATTCCCCAACATGGAATCAAGGATCCCCCAGTATGGGATCACCCCCAAATATGGGATTAAGGATTCTCCAATATGGGAACAAGGACCCCCAATATGGGATCAAGGATCCCCCAGTAGGGGATCAAGGATTCCCCAATATGGGATCACTCCAAAATATGGGATCAAGGATCTCCCAGCTCAGGGATCACCCCCAAATATGGGATTAAGGACTCCCCAATATGGGATCAAGGACCCCCAATACGGGATCAAGGATCCCCCAGTTTGGGGATAACCCCCAAATATAGGATTAAGGATTCCCCAAATATGGGATCAAGGATTCCCAATATGAGATAAAGAACCCCCAATAGGGGATCAAGGATCTCCCAGTATGGGATCACCCCCAAATATGAAATCAAGGATCCCCCAGCTCAGGGATCACCCTCAAATATGGGATTAAGGATTCCTCAATATGGGATCAAGGATCCCTCAGCTCAGGAATGACCCCTAAATATGGGATCAAGGATTCCCCAATATGGGATCATCCCCAAATATGGGATTAAGGATTCCCCAATATGGGAACAAAGACCCCCAATATGGGATCAAGGATCCCCCAGCTTGGGGATAACCCCCAAATATAGGATTAAGGATTCCCCAAATACGGGATTAAGGATTCCCCAATATGGGATCAAGGACTCCCAATATGGGATCAAGGATTCCCCAAATATGGGATCAAGGACGCCCAGCTCAGGGATTTGTGGGAGCTCTTGGGGTTATCAGAGTTCCTGGGTCTTTGGCAACTCTGGGTTTGTGGGAATTGCTGGATTTGTGGGAACTCCTGGGTCTGTGCGAGCTCCTGAGTTTTTGGGACCTCTTGGGTCTTGAAGAGCTTTCAGATTTCTTGGGAAATTTTGGATTTTTGAGAGCCCCTTGTTGTTGTTTTTGGGTTTTTTTCCCCCTGGAGTTCTCCTACTCCCCCAGCCCTGTGCAGGGAGCTGGAAGCTGCTTTTGTTTCTCTTTAACCACCACAGACCTCAAAATAAAGCCAGGAGGAATCCCATAAAACAGCCAGAGAAGCTGCTGTGGGCAGCTGGTGCTCCTGGGAGGGAGGGAAGGGTTGGGCTTGTGGGAGCTCCTGAGTTTTTGGGACCTCTTGGGTCTTGAAGAGCTTTCGGATTTCTTGGGAAATTCTAGATTTGTTTCTCTTTAACCACCAGAGACCTCAAAATAAAGCCAGGAGAAATCCCCTAAAACAGCCAGAGAAGCTGCTGGTGCTCCTGGGAGGGAGGGAATTGCTGGGTTTGTGGGAACTCCTGGATCTGCAGGAGTTCCTGAGTTTTTGGGACCTCTTGGGTCTTGAGGAGCTTTCAGATTTCTTGGGAAATTCTGCATTTTTTCCCTTTTTAACCACCACAGCCCTGTCAGTCCATACCTGGGCAGGCCCCTGGGCTGCAGGGATGAGGGGGGAGCAGGAGCTGCCCCTGTCAGGCTCCTCCAGGGCCAGGATGTCGATGGGAGCCTCGGCCATGTCCCTCAGGGCTGGATCCAGGCTCACAGAAGGGTCAAAGAGCAGAGGGGAAGGTGGGCACTGCATCCCATCACCCACCACGTCCAGGTCCTGCAGGGAAAAGAGAGCTCATCAGGGCTGAGGAGGGTCTGGAGCAGCAGGGAAGGGAGGAGGAAGGCAGGGAGGAGGAGGAGGAGGAGGAGTGAGCACCATGCCAGGGGGGCCCCAGACAGGAACACACCCCAATAACCTCCTCCTCCTTCTCCTTCTCCTTCTCCTTCTCCTTCTCCTCCTGCAATGCCATGATCCCAGCTGGCACTGCTGAGGACAAGCTGTGGCACACACCAGCTGGAGGCCGGAGTGATGTGTTGTCCCCAAAGTGTCCCTCCAGCACCTGGAATGGCTTTGGCAGGGTCCAATCACACCTTTCTGGGGACCCCCAGAGCCATCCCTGCTCTCCAGGATGTCACACACATTCCTGGGGACCCCCAGAGCAATCCCCCATGTCCAGCATGTCACACACATTCCTGGGGACACCTGGAACATGTCCACCCTCTCCTAGGATGTCACACACACATTCCAGAGGATCCCCACACCAGTCCCTGCTCTCCAGGATGTCACACACACTCCTGGGGACATCCAGGAGGAAATTCAGGAGGAGCTGGGATTCAGGAGAAGCTGGGATTTGAGAGAGGCCGGGATTTGAGAGAGGCTGAAATTCAGGAGGAGCTGGGATTCAGGAGCTGGGATTTGGCAGAAGCTGGGATTCAGGAGAGGCTGGGATTCAGGAGGAGCTGGGATTCAGAAGAGGCTGGGAGTTGGGACAGGCTGGGATTCAGCAAAGACTGGGATTTGGGAGAAGCTGGGATTTGGAAAGGCTGGGATTTGGGACAGACTGGGATTCAGGAGGAGCTGGGATTCATCAGAGCCTGGGATTTGGGAGGAACTGGGATTCAGCATAGACTGGGATTCAGCAGAAGCTGGGATTTGTGAGAGGCTGGGATTCAGGAGAAGCTGGGATTCAGCAGAATCTGGGATTTGTTCTGGCTCCAGAGGGGCTTTGACACCAGGGTGACATTCCTGGTGACATTCCCGTGCCTCAGGAGTGGCACCTCCCCAGCCTGCTGAGACACAACACAGACACCCCCAGCAGCTCCCATGGATCTGCAGTGCTTCAGAGAGAGCTCAGAACCCTCCCAAGGGACAGCATGAGGGAAACCAGCCCTGCTTTTCCTTTCTAACCCAAAAATTTCACCTCCTGTTTGCACAGAAAGGGGCTGGGGACTGATCTGAGCCCTCCTCAAGCCTGACCCTGCTTGTTCTCCTGGCTCCTGGGGCTGGAACCTCTCCTCCATCACCAGAGATCCAAGGTTTGCCTCCAACAGCAGAGCTCAGCAGCCTCAGGAGCCCCCAAAAACTGAGGGGACCCTCACAGGAGCAGCTCCCCTGGATCCTGTGCTCTGCTTTGGCCTCAATGCACTCCTGAGGCTCTGAGCTCTGCTGCTTTAAATGCACCATGATGCCACAATAATCTGGGGATTAAAATCTTCCTGTTTTCCTCGTGCCAGAGAAAATGGGGGTGGGGGATAAAAAATCCTCTTTTTAAGGCATTTAAATGAGCACAGCCATTCCAAAGGAGCAGCCACCAAGCCTGGAATAGCTCCTAGACCTTCCACATTCCTGCATTTTCAGACTAAAAGATGGATTTAGAATGTAAAGATCATGCATGGACAGGGACATGGAAACCTTCCACTATCCCAGGTGGCTCCAAGCCTTGTCCAACCTCATCCTGGACACTTTCAGGGATCCAGAGGCAGCCACAGCTGCTCTGGGAAATCCATTCCAGAGCCTCCCTAGGGAGAAACAAATCTGGGGAGATCTTCACAGGGAGAAATTTGTTCAAAATATCCCATCTAACCCTGCCTCTGGCAGTGGGAAACCATTCCCCTTTATCCTGGCACCCCATCCTTTGTCCCAAAGGGGCTCTGAGGTGTCCCTGGATCCCTCTCCTCTCCAGCCTGGACATCCCCAGCCTGATCCCAGAGCTGTTCCAGCCTCACTCCAGCAGCTCCTCCTGTGCTCAGAACCCAGATCTGGATGTAGCATCCCAGGTGGGATCTCAGGTGGAAGAGGAGGAAAGGGTTGGAAGAAGTGAATTGGGATTGAAAAACAGGAAGGGATGGGAAGAAACAGATGGGGATCAGAAAAGGAGGAAGAGAAATGGAAGAGGAGGAAGGGATGGGAAGAAAACATTGGAAGTGAATGGGGGTTGAAAAAGAGGAAGGGATGGAAAAAAAAGGAGAAAGAGAAATGGAAGAGGAGGAAAAGGTTGGAAGAAGTGAATGGGGGTTCAAAAAGAGGAAGGGCTTGGAAGAAAAGGATGGGGATCAGAAAAGGAGAAAGAGAAATGGAAGAAGAAAGGGTTGGGAAGAAAAAGTTGGAAGAAGTGAATGGGGGTTGAAAAACAGGAAGAAGAGGAGGGGGATCAGAAAAGGAGAAAGAGGAATGGAAGAGGAGGAAAGGGTTGGGAAGAAAAGGTTGGAAGAAGTGAATGGGGGTTGAAAAAGAGGAAGGGGTGGGAAGAAAAGGAGAAAGAGAAATGGAAGAGGACGAAGGGATGGGAAGAAAAGGACAGGGATCAGAAAAGGAGGAAGATAAATGGAAGAGGAGGAAGGGATGGGAAGAAAAGGTTGCAAGAAGCTCCTCCCCCACCCCAGGAGGGACCAGGAGAGCCCTCCCAGCTGTGCCACTTACATCACTGAACTCCAGGGGCAGGCTCTCGGTGGGCTGCAGCTCAGCTGCACTCAGGTACAGCTCTGAGGGCGCTGCCCCCAGCTCCTGGGGCACTGCCAGCCCCTGCTCGGGCACGTACATCTGGGGGGGCAGCCGCAGGTGCAGGGGGCAGCAGGGCTCCTCCGACAGGCTCACGGGCACGGGCTTGTTGCAGGGAACCTCCTCAGAGCCCTGGCAAGGCTTGAAAAGGCTCTGGTTGGTGTCCTGGCAGATATCTGGGGAGAGGAGGTCAAGGAAGGCAGCACAGGTACAGCAGAGTGATCCCACATTGGGGTGGTCCAATATTGGGGAATCCCTAATCCCATATTGGGGTGGTCCAACACTGGGGAATCCCTAATCCCATATTGGGGTGGTCCAATACTGGGGAATCCCTAATCTCATATTGGGGTGATCCAATACTGGGGAATCCCTAATCTCATATTGGGGTGATCCAATACTGGGGAATCCCTAATCCCATATTGGGGTGGTCCAATACTGGGGAATCCCTAATCTCATATTGGGGTGATCCAATACTGGGGAATCCCTAATCTCATATTGGGGTGGTCCAATATTGGGGAATCCCTAATCTCATATTGGGGTGGTCCAATATTGGGGAATCCCTAATCCCATATTGGGGTGGTCCAATATTGGGGAATCCCTAATCCCATATTGGGGTGGTCCAATATTGGGGAATCCCTAATCTCATATTGGGGTGGTCCCATATTGGGGAATCCCTAATCCCCTATTGGGGTGGTCCCATATTGGAGAATCCATAATCCCATATTTAGGGGTCATCTCTGAGCTGGGGGATCCTTCATCCTATACTGGGGGTCATCCCTGAGCTGGGGGATCCTTGATCCCATGTTTGGGGTCATCCCATATTGGGAAATCCTTGATCCCATATTGGGGGTGATCCCCAAGCTGGGAGATCCTTGATCCCATACTGAGAAATCCTTAATCCCATATTTGGGGGTGATCCCTGAGTTGAGGAATCCTTGATCCCATATTGGGGAATCCTGATCCCTTATTGGCGTTGATCCCATATTGGGGAATCCTTGGTCCCACACTGGGGCTCATCCCTGAGCTGGAGAATCCTTGATCCCATATTTGGGGTCATCCCATACTGGGGGTCATCCCTGAGCTGGGGAATTCTTTGATCCCATATTGGAGCTCATCCCTGAGCTGGGGGATCCTTGATTCCATATTGGGCAATCCTTAATCCTATATTAGGGGTCATCCCATACTGGGGGAATCCTTGATCCCATACTGGAGGTAATCCCATAATCAGGGATCCTTGATCCCATATTTGGGGTCATCTCTGAGCTGGGGAATCTCTGATCCCATACTGAGGGTGATTCCATAATTGGGAACCCTTGATCCTGTATTTGGGGGTCATCCCATATTGGGGAATCCTTGATCCCATATTGGGGCTCATCTTTGAGATGAGGAAGTTTTGATCCCATACTGGAGGATCCAGAGGGATAAATGCTGAGAAATGCTCCCAATTCCCCCACAAATGGTGCTAAACCCACCCCAATTTCTCTCAGATCAAGAATCCACAGGTTAGATCTGCACCCCAATGCTCAGGGATGTGGTGACATCATTTCCATGATGGAAAACTGGGACAACAGCCATAATCCCCCTCTGTGGGGGCTGGATCCCATAAACCACTTAGAGATTCTCAGCTGGATGGCACAAAGGCTGAGGATTAACTTTTGTTTGCAGACATCCCTGGGAAATGACCCCATATTGCAGAGTCCTTGATCCCATATTTGGGGTCATCCCCGAGCTGGGGAATTTTTGATCCCATACTGGAGGATCCAGAAGGATAAATGCTGAGAAATGCTCCCAATTCCCCCACAAATGTTGCTAAACCCACTCCAATTTCACCCAGATCAAGAATCCAGAGCTGCACCCCAATGCCCAGAGATGTGGGTGACACCATTTCCATGATGGAAAACTGGGACAACAGCCATAATCCCCCCTCTGTGGGGGCTGGGAGATGTGGCTGGATCCCATAAACCACTCAGAGATTCTCAGCTGGATGGCACAAAGGCTGAGGATTAACTTTTGTTTGCAGACATCCCTGGGAAATGAGCAGCTCCAGCCCCACGGGCAGGGAGATCCCAGCACACACAATGCCTCTCCCACAGCCAGCATTTTGGTTCAGTTATTTCTATTTTCTCGCTGCATTTTCCTTCCCAGTGGAAAAGCTGTTCCTGCCAGAGGTGTAAATGGGATTTCCTGCCTTTAATCCCAAACAGAAACTCCTCTTCAATTGCATCACACTTGCAGAGTGATCCAGAGGCAAAGGAGCTACAGATCAAAGCCATCACCTCCCAACCCTTTCCTCCTCTTCCCACACCCATCCTCTTCTTCCTCTTCCAAGCCCTATTCTGATCCCATCCTCCTCTTCTGACTCCACTCCTCCTTTTCCTCCTCTTTTAATCTTTCTCTTCTTCCCACTCCTTCCTCTTTTTGAACCCCCATTCACTTCTTCCAATCTCTTCTTCCCATCCCTTCCTCTTTTTCCACCCTTTTCTCATCTTCTGATCCCCAACCTTTTCTTCCCAACCCTTTTCTCCCCTTCCGTTCATCTTCCTCCTTTTCTGATCCCCATCCTTTTCTTTCCGCCCCTTCCTTTTTTAAAACCCCCATTCACTTCTTCCAACCTTTTCTTCCAACCCCTTCCTCTTTTTTAATCCCAATTCACTTGTTCCAGCCTTTCCTCCTCTTCCATTTCTCTTCCTCCTTTTCTGATCTCCATCCTTTTCTTTTCACCCATTCCTCTTTTTCAACCCAAATTGACTTCTTCCAACATCTTCCCATCCTTTCCTCCTCTTCCATTTCTCTTCCTCCTTTTCTGATCCCCATCCCTTTCTTTTCATCCCTTCCTCTTTTTCAACCCCCATTCACTTCTTCCAACCTTTTCTTCCCTTTCCTGTTCTTGCATCCTTTTCTCCTTTTCTGATCCCCACCCTTCTCTTTTCACTTTTTTTTCAACCCCCATTCACTTCTTCCAACCCCTTCCTCTTTTTTAATCCCAATTCACTTCTTCCAACCTTTTCTTCCAACCCTTTCCTCCTCTTCCATTTCTCTTCCTCCTTTTCTGATCCTCATCCTTTTCTTCCCACCCCTTCCTCTTTTTCAACCCCCTTCACTTCTTCCAACCATTTCTTCCCATCCTTTCTTCTTTTTCCATCCTTTTCTCCTCTTCTGATTCCCACTTTTTTCTTCCAATCCCTTCCTCTTTCTTTTCAATCCCCATTCACTCCTTCCAACCTTTTCTTCCCATCCCTTCCTCTTTCTCCACTCCTTCCTCCTTTTCTTCCCATCCTTTCCTCTTCTTTCATTTCTTTCTCCTTTTCTGATCCCCATCCTTTTTTCATCCCTTCCTCTTTTTCAGCCCCAATTCACTTCTTCCAATCTTTTCTCCCCATCCCTTCCTCTTTTTCCATCCTTTTCTCCTCTTCTGATCCCCATCCTTTTCTTCCCAACCCTTTCCTCCTCTTCCATTTCTCTTTCTCCTCTTCTGATCCCCATCCTTTTCTTCCAATCCCTTCCTCTTTTTTTTTTCAATCCCCATTCACTTCTTCCAACCTTTTCTTCCCATCCTTTCCTATTCTTTCATTTCTTTTTCTCATTTTCTGATCCCCACCCTTATCTTCCAACCTTTTCCTTCTCTTCCATCCCTTTCTCCCCTTCTGATCCTCATCCTTTTATTCCAACCCCTTCCTCCTCCTCCTCCCACATCTTTCTCCTCTTCCATCCCCTTCCAACCAGGATCATCCCAACTGCAATTTCCTCACACACACACCAGTGTGGGAGGAGGGGAAAAAAATCCCCCAAACTCACAAAAAATGGGGAAAAGACACCAAATTTAAGGCAGTTTCTTAAAGCTGGCTGGGTTTGAGATTCACCCCTCCCTCCTCTCCTCCCTACTCCAAGGATTTCTCAGGAATTCATTTCCTGGCAGGCTGTGGGGAGCCAGAATTTGGGCTGGCAGCAAAATCAGAGCCCAGCCCAAGAGAAAAGGACCTGGGACACCCAAGGGAAGCTGTGGTGAGGGAAGAGGGAGTGGGAAAATCAGATTTTCAGCTCCAGCACTGGCTTTACTGGTAGCCAAAAGCACAGATTGCCAAGAGGACAAAAATCCCAAGCTCCATCTGGAACCTCCCAGCTTTCCCCCATCCCTTTAGTGCCCTGTCACAAACAATCCAGCTCCTGGAAGCAAGCAGAGCTCCAGAAAAGCCACAGATGTTATCAGATGTTATCAGCTGCCTCAGGAAAAGCTTGTTTGTGTCACCGAGAGTCAGACCCAGCTCTTCCCTCCCTCCCTCCCAGGAGCACCAGCTGCCCACAGCAGCTTCTCTGGCTGTTTTATGGGATTCCTCCTGGCTTTATTTTGAGGTCTGTGGTGGTTAAAGAGAAACAAAAGCAGCTTCCAGCTCCCTGCACAGGGCTGGGGGAGTAGGAGAACTCCAGGGAGAAAAAAAGCAAACAAAACAAGGGGCTCTCAAAAATCCAGAATTTCCAAAGAAATCTGAAAGCTCTTCAAGACCCAAGAGGTCCCAAAAACTCAGGAGCTCCCACAAGCCCAACCCTTCCCTCCCTCCCAGGAGCACCAGCTGCCCACAGCAGCTTCTCTGGCTGTTTTATGGGATTCCTCCTGGCTTTATTTTGAGGTCTGTGGTGATTAAAGAGAAACAAAAGCAGCTTCCAGCTCCCTGCACAGGGCTGGGGGAGTAGGAGAACTCCAGGGGGAAAAAAAGCAAACAAAACAAGGGGCTCTCAAAAATCCAGAATTTCCCAAGAAATCTGAAAGCTCCTCAAGACCCAATAGGTCCCAAAAACTCAGGAGCTCGCACAGACCCAGGAGTTCCCACAAATCCAGCAATTCCCACAAACCCAGAGTTGCCAAAGACCCAGGAACTCTGATAACCCCAAGAGCTCCCACAAATCCCTGACCTGGGGAATCCTTGGTCCCATATTTGGGGGTGATCCCATACTGGGGAATCCTTGACCCCATATTTGGGGGTCCTTGATCCTATATTAGGGGTCATCCCTCAGCTGGGGGATCCTTGATCCTATATTGGGGCTCTGCTCCCAAGGAATAAGGGACAGGACAAGAGGGAAGAGCCTCAATCTTTGTCGGGGAGGTTCAGGAATTTCTGAATTCATCGGGAGGAATTTCTCAATTCATCAGGAATTTCTGAATTCAGAGATTTCTGAGCTCATCAGGGATTTCTGAGCTCATCAGGGATTTCTGAATCCATCAGGAATTTCTGAATTCATCAGGGATTTCTGAATTCATCAGGAATTTCTGAATTCATCAGGAAGAATTTCTGAATTCATCAGGAATTTCTGAACTCACCAGGAATTTCTGAGCTCACCAGGGATTTCTGAATCATCAGGGATTTCTGAGCTCATCAGGGGAATTTCTGAATTCATCAGGAGGAATTTCTGAGCTCATTAGGGATTTCTGAGCTCATTAGGGATTTGTGAATTCATCAGGAGGAATTTTTCCATACAAAACAAGCTCAGACATTGTTTCTCCCACACGAACTGGCTGATCCATGGCAGGGAAGCACCAACAGACTGGGAGAGAGAATTTTGAATTTATCACGGATTTCTGAATTCATCAGAAGGAGTTTCTGAATTCATCAGGAGGAATTTCTGAATTCATCAGGAGGAATTTCTGAGCTCATTAGGGATTTCTGAATTCATCAGGAGGAATTTTTCCATACAAAACAAGCTCAGACATTGTTTCTCCCACACGAACTGGCTGATCCATGGCAGGGAAGCACCAACAGACTGGGAGAGAGAATTTTGAATTTATCACGGATTTCTGAATTCATCAGAAGGAGTTTCTGAATTCATCAGGAGGAATTTCTGAATTCATCAGGAGGAATTTCTGAGTTCATCAGGGATTTCTGAATTCAGGGATTTCTGAATTCATCAGGGATTTCTGAGCTCATTAGGGATTTCTGAATTCACCAGGGATTTCTGAATTCATCAGGGATTTCTGAGCTCATCAGGAGGAATTTCTTCCATGGAAAATAAGGTCAGACATTGTTTCTCCCACACGAACTGGCTGATCCATGGCAGGGGAGCACCAACAGACTGGGAGACATTTCCTCTGGGCTCCTGCTTGAAACCAACGGCTACAGCAAACCGAGGGCCTTGATTCAGGGCCAGGGAGGGAGAAAAGAGACACAACCAGGGGGAAAACTGCTGGAAAACACTCAGGGAGAGGCTGGGATCAAAGGATACGTGTGAGGCAGTGCCTGGTCAGTGGCAGGGAGGGGTTGGAGCATCTGACATCGTCCACAAAGGCCAAGCAGCGCTGGCTGGAGCGGGTGGTGTGAGCCTGGAATCGTGCAATGGTTTGGGTTGGGAGAGATTCTAAAGCTCCTTTTCCCACAGCAAGGATATTTTGCACTGTGCCACGCTGTTTTAAGTCATATCCAAGCTGGTCTTGAGCATCTGAGGGATGGGGCAGCCAGAGCTGGTCTGAGAAATCCATTGCAGGGCCTCCCCACCCTCACAGGGAGGGATTTGTTCCCAATGTCCCATCTAAACCTCTCATGTCTTAGTTTAAAACCATTTCCTCTTGTCCTGTCACTGGATGTCTATTTAAAACTCCCACTCCTTTTTTTTAAAGCCTCTTTTAGGCACTGGAATGGACTCACTCAGAGCCAGGAGCTCCCAAAAACCTGAGAGCCTTGACAAACAAACCCACGAGCTTCCACAAGCTGTGAGCTCCTAAAAATCCTCAAACCTCCCAATACCCTGAGCCCTCTTTTCTCCAGGATGAGCTCCCTCATCTCCTCAGGAGTTTTGCAGACCTTTCTTGGCCTCCAGTCTCTTTCCCTTCTCTGGATTTGACCCTCCATGTCTGTCTTGCTGTGAGGAGCCCAAAGCTGAGCCCAGCGTTCAAGGTGTGGACACCAAGAGCTCCCACACACCTGAGGGTTCTTGCACACACAGGAGCTACCACAGATCCAGAAGCTCCCACAAACCTCAACAACCCCAGGAGCTTGTCCAAACCCAGCAGGGTGGCAACCAGAGCTGTCCTTGCAGGAAGGACAGGAGCTCCCACAGATCCAGAAGCTCTTACAAATCCAAGAGCTCCCTCAACAACCCCAGGAGCTCCCACAACAACCCCAGGAGCTTCTCCAAACCCAGGAGCTCCCACAACAACCCCAGGAACTCCCACAACAACTCCAGGAGCTCCTACAAATCCAGAAGCTCCCGCAACGACCCCAGGAGGTTTTCCAAACCCAGGAGCTCCTACAAACCCAGGAGCTCCCTCAACAACCCCAAAAGCTTCTCCAAACCCAAGAGCTTCCTCAACAACCCCAGGAGCTCCCTCAGCAACCCCAAGAGCTCCCATAAACCCAGGAGCTCCCACAACAACCCCAAAAGCTTCTCCAAACCCAGGTGCTCCTACAAACCCAAGAACTCCCACAACAACCCCAAGAGCTCCCACAACAACCCCAGGAGCTTCTCCAAACACAGGACCTCCCTTAACAACCCCAGGTGCTTCTCCAAACCCAACAGCTCCCACAACAACCCCAGGAGCTCCCACAACAACCCCAGGAGCTTTTCCAAACCCAGGAGCTCCTACAACATCCCCAGGAGCTCCTACAAACCCAGGATGGTGGCAGCTAGAGCTGTCCTTGCAGGAAGGATAGGAGGTCCCACAGATCCAGAAGGTCCTACAAACCCAGGAGTTCCTAAAACATCCCCAGGAGCTCCTGCAACATCCTCAGGAGCTTCTCCAAACCCAAGAGCTCCCACAACATCCCCAGGAGCTTCTCCAAACCCAGGACCTCCCTTAACAACCCCAGGTGCTTCTCCAAACCTGAGAGCTCCTGTAATAACCCCAGGACCTCCCTTAACCACCCCAGGTGCTTCTCCAAACCCAAGAGCTCCTACAACATCCCCAGCAGCTCCCTCTACAACCCCAGGAGCTTTTCCAAACCCAGGAGCTCCCACAACAACCCCAGGAGCTCCTACAACAATCCCAGGTGCTTCTCCAAACCCAACAGATCCTACAACAACCCCAGGAGCTCCTACAACAACCCCAAAAGCTTCTCCAAACCCAAGAGCTCCCGCAACAACCCCAGGAGCTCCCACAACAACCCCAGGAGCTCCCACAACATCCCCAGGAGCTTCTCCAAACCTGAGAGCTCCCACAACAACCCCAAAAGCTTCTCCAACCCCAGAACCTCTCTTAACAACCCCAGGAGCTTCTCCAAACCCAGCAGGGCGGCACCCTCGCAGGAAGGACGTTACATGGGGCAATCTGCCAGGGCCTGGGGTCACTCCCAGAGTGACAGGAGAGGACAGAGCCCCCTCCAGGGTGTCCCCACGGACCTGCTGGGCCACGCCATCGGTGGCCAGGATGCGGCGCTCGCGGAGCTGCCGGTGCAGCAGAGCCTCCACCCCGTAGCGCTGCCGGTAACGCCGCAGGCACTTGAGCCTCTTCAGGTTCTCCCTCTCCTTGGCCATCAGCCCCTCTGGCCCTGTCAGGAGGCTGCTGCCTGCAGGAATAAAGGAAGAGTCAGGAATCTGGCCTGGATTTTTGGGGTTTGAGGGCTCCATCCCTCACCCATCAGCTTTGGGTGACGCCTGGCGGTGCAGGTTCCATCCCAAAATTTATCCTGACCTCTCCTGAACACCAGGAACCCACAGGGTATTTTTAAAACCTCCTTTAAAAATAATTCGAGCCACTCCTGTGCATTGTGATTTCAGCAGAAGAAAAACTTGTCAAATTCCAGGTCACTCCTGGGTGAGTTCTGGAAGCTTCCTGCCAGCATTCCTGGTGTAATTACAGGATCTGCTTTTCTCTGCCTGCTTTGCTAAAAAGAGTTCTGCAAAATTGGTATGTACCAAACTCCTGGTTATTTTTACTTGAGCCTGAGCTGAATTATGGCGTTTTCCAGGATGAGCTATTAAAGGATGATGCTGGAAAAAGAGTCCTTTGCTCTGCAATACTTGGGATCAGTTACACAACTGGGTTTTGCCTCTGTTGAACTGGGAATTCCTGCTTTCAAAAGCATGTTCTGCATACAGAGAATGCCAGCAGAGGCAGAGGGAAAGCTGCTAAGGAGGAATAAGCCAGTACAGCAGCACTGGTGTTACTGGAACCAGCTCCTGTCCAAACACCAAGGGCCTTATGGATGAATATTTTTTGTTCGCAAAAGGAAAAAACAGGAAATCCCAGTACAAAATAAGCACTTTTGTCTCAGAATTAACATTATAGCTCATTTCCTGCCAACGCTGCAAGCTCTGAAGAGCAAAGAAATGCACAAGCTTTGGAGCTGCAGTGATAGGGATCTCTGGGCACAGGACCAGCACAGAATCATGGAATCACTCAGGCTGGAAGAGCTCTCCAGGATCAGAGTCCAACCTGTGACTGATCCCCACCTTGCCAACCAGACCAGAGCACTGAGTGCAATGTCCAGCTGTGCACTGAACTCCTTCCTGGGCATTTCCAATGCCTGACCACCTTTTCCATACCGAAATCCTCTTGATGCCCACCCCAAACCTCCCCTGGCACAGTGTGAGGCCATTTCCTTTTGTCGCATTGTTCTGTGGGAGCAGATATATTACAATATATTATAGTACTATAGTATAGCATACGTTACATTATACTATAATATACTATACTATATATATAATATATATACATATACTATTATATTCTATATTATATATAGTATAGAATATCATAGCAAATGTATATTATATATAGTATTCAGTATAAAAATATTACATACATATACCATATAATATACATATACTATGATATTTTATACTATATAGTGTATATATACACTATATATATTATATATAATATATATAGTATATATATACTATTTATACATATATATAGTATATAGTATATATAGTATTTATATATACTATAGATATATTATATATATTATACTATAATATACTATACTATAAACTATATAAGTATTATATGTATTCTATATTATAGTATATATATTATAGATATGTACATATACTAAGCTATTCTATGCTATATATATTCTATATACTACATATACTATAGATATACTATATATATTATACTATACTATATATTATACTATACTATAATTATATATGTATAGGGTTATACTATATATAGTATATACATATACTATGATACTCTATACTATATATAGTATATATATACTATATATATACTATAATTATATTTTACTATACTGTAATTTCCAATGCCTGACCACCTTTTCCATACCGAAATCCTCTTGACGCCCACCCCAAACCTCCCCCGGCACAGTGTGAGGCCATTTCCTTTTGTCGCATTGTTCTGTGGGAGCAGATATATTACAATATATTATAGTACTATAGTATAGCATACGTTACATTATACTATAATATACTATACTATATATATAATATATATACATATACTATTATATTCTATATTATATATAGTATAGAATATCATAGCAAATGTATATTATATATAGTATTCAGTATAAAAATATTACATACATATACCATATAATATACATATACTATGATATTTTATACTATATAGTGTATATATACACTATATATATTATATATAATATATATAGTATATATATACTATTTATACATATATATAGTATATAGTATATATAGTATTTATATATACTATAGATATATTATATATATTATACTATAATATACTATACTATAAACTATATAAGTATTATATGTATTCTATATTATAGTATATATATTATAGATATGTACATATACTAAGCTATTCTATGCTATATATATTCTATATACTACATATACTATAGATATACTATATATATTATACTATACTATATATTATACTATACTATAATTATATATGTATAGGGTTATACTATATATAGTATATACATATACTATGATACTCTATACTATATATAGTATATATATACTATATATATACTATAATTATATTTTACTATACTGTAATTATACTGTAATTATATATGTACAGTGTTATACTATATATAGTATCCTATACATAGTATACACTATATATAGTATATCATATAATATTCTATATTATATATATTCTATATACTATATATATAGTACTATATACACTGTATATATACTATTCTATATATTCTATACTATATTGCATTACTACATATTCTATACTATATTATATATTATATACCAGTATAGAATATATTCTATTCTATACTATATATTCTATACTATATATTCTATACTTCATTACATTACATCTAAACAAAGCAGGAAGGATGAGGAGGACTCCATTAATATCATCGATACCTGACCCCCACCTGGCTGCACTCTCCTGTCAGGGAGTTACAGACTGAGATGATCCCACCTGAGCCTCCTTTTCTCCATGTTCAGCCCCTCCCCAGCTCTCCAGATCCTCCTCCTTGTGCTCCAGCCACTTCCCCATCTCCTCAACAAAACACCGAGTGTGGAACCCCCCCCTTTATCCTGCTCTGAAATCAGCCTCTAGAAAGGCCCAAATCCCCAATTTTCAGCAGATTTCTGTGCCCACCCCCAGGCAGGAGGTCTGGGCTCACCGATGGCCTCGTGCTCTGCCTTCCTGCTGTGCAGGAACCGTCGTTTCTTCTCCTTCAGGAGGTGCTGGAGACGCTTGAACTGGTCAATGTAGAGGGACTGGAGGCGGATCAGCTTCTCCCTCATGATCAGAGCCACCTCCTCGGCTGTGTACACACCAGCATGCCTGGAAAACCCAGGGAAATAGGGTCTGTTTGGGGGTTTCCTGGAGACCGATTCCCCCAAAAGGTGTGGGGGTTCCTCTGGGCTGATCCCTGAAGGGTCTGGGGATCCTAGGGGTTTTTTCTGCAGAAGAGTCTGAGGGTTCTTCATGGAAGAGTCTCCAAAGGGTGTGAGTGTCTTTTGGGGCTGATCCCTGAAGGGTCTAGGGATCTCAGGGGTTTTTTCTGCTGAAGAGTCTGGGGGTTCCTCAGGGATGAACCCCCAAAAGATGTGAGGGTATCTTGGAGACTGATCCCCGAATCCATGGGGATTCCATGGACTTTTTCTGCTGAAAAGTTTGGGGTTTCCTCAGGGATGAGCCCCCAGAGTGTGGGGCTCCCTAAGGGTTGATCCCTGAAGGGTCTGGGGGACCCTCAAGAATGAGCCCCCGAAGAGTGTGAGGGTTCCTCAGGGTTGATCCCTGAAGGATCTGGGGATTTAATGTTTTTTTTCTGCTGAAGAGTCTGAGGGTCCTTCAGGGATGAACACCCAAAGGGTGTGGGGATCCCATGGGTTTTTTCTGCTGAAGGGTCTGAGGGTCCTTCAGGGATGAACACCCAAAGGGTGTGGGGGTCCCTTGGGGTTGATCCCTGAAGGGTCTGGGGATCCCATGGGTTTTTTCTGAAGAGTCTGGGCTCCAGGCTGAGCCCCCCCAAAATATAAATTTAACTACTCCCCCAACCTACTTGAGGGGATCCTCCTGGTCGCTGTCAATGCTGTCAGCTTCACTGTCAGGGTCCCCACGCCACGTCTGCTCCACAGTGACAGGGTCCTGCTCACAGTCACTCCAGCTGTCCTCGTCTGCAAGACACAGCAGCAGAGTGACAGGACACTGTCCCACATCCCAGCATGGCCAGGGACACCCTGGAGCTCAGCCCCATGGAGCTGAGCAGGCTCTGCCTCATGTCAAGAGGGAATTCTCCACCTCAAAACTCTGAGTGAGGGACATGGAGCAGGAAATTACAGAAAACATCACAGTTTGGAACAACCAGAACAAGCAAAACACACTGGGAATGATCCTTCAGCCCTCCCAGGAACCAGGGAATTCCAGTCAGCACTGGGGGCTCTTTGGGATCAGTTATTGGGTTAAATGGGAAAATAATCCCGGTGCCAAAAGGAGATAATTTATTTGGGATCAGTTATTGGATTAAAAGGAAAAATAATCCGGGTGCCAAAAGGGGATCAGTTCTTTGTGGTCAGTTATTGGGTTAAAAGTGAAAATAATCCAGGTGCCAAAAGGGGATCAGTTCTTTGGAGTCAGTTATTGGGTTAAAAGTGAAAATAATCCAGGTGCCAAAAGGGGATCAGTTATTGGGTTAAAAGTGAAAATAATCTAAGTGTCAGTTTTTAATTGGATAGTTTAGTCTTAAAAGACCTTGGAACAAGAGATTGTTGGCTGTTTTGTACCTTGTGGCTGAACTCACAGTAGTGAGACTGTTTTTCTGATAAGAACTAAAAACCACCTGAGTTGGAACATGAATTACTGGTTTAAATTCCTTCAATCCAGACCCAGAAAAACCAACAAGTGGTACCCCCACAGGATCTGTAAAAAAGCTAAAAGCTCAAATCTCAAGGCAAGGGGCTCAGTGCTCACCCAGGATGCGGCTGGCCTCGCTGCGGCTGCTCTCGGCGCTCTGGCTGCCCAGCTCTGCCCGGGCATAGGAGCTCAGCTGGCACAGCAGGGTCTCACCCACGGGCCCGGGGTTGGATTTCTTCACCTGAGCCTGCAGTGCCAGCGCGTTGCGCCGGGCATGCTCCGCGCAGAACGAGGTGCTGTGGGACAAAGCAGTGGAGGATTTTGTGGGGTAGTTTGGGTAGGAAGAAGCTAAAAGCTGATTTGAGCCTCCCCTCCTCCCCAGCCTGACCCTGCTTGCTCTCCCAGCTGCTGCTGCTGGAATCCCTCCTCCATCGCCAAACACTACAGCTGGAATGAGGAGGCCCCGATGAAGGAGGAATGATGGGGAATGATGGAGGAGGACTCCATCGATATCAGAAGGCTAATTAATTACTTTACAGTATACTATATATACTACATATTATAGTATATATATAGTATACTGTAAAGTATACTATATATTATATAGTATATAGTATATTCTATACTTTATAGTATAGGATATACTATATACTATATAATATTATAATATATTACACTATATGCTATATATACTATATATATACATATACTATGTATAATGTATATACACACTATATATAATGTATATACACACATATACTATAATATTCTATACTATATATATATCTATATGCTATATTTACTATATATAGTATACTATACTATAATTACACTATATATTATATATAGGGTTATACTATATATAGCATACTATATATATAGCATATACTTTATATAGTATACTATAATATTCTATACTATGTTGCATTACGTCTAAACAAAGGAGGCATGATGAGGGCTCCATTGATATCAGAAGGCTAATTAATTACTTTATTATACTATATTATAATATTATAGTATATACTATATAATACTATAATATACTGTACTATATATGCTATATATACTAGGCATAATATGTATACATATACTATATATTCTATACTATATATACATGATATATATAATGTATATATTCACATATACTATAATACTCTATACTATATATTCTATATACTATATATAGTACCATATACACTATATATTACACTATACATAGCATACTAGATATAGTACATACAATATATAGTATAATATATTATATTATATAGTATATATATAGAATATACTATAATTTTACTATATATACTATATATATAGGGTTATACTATATATATAGTATATATTAATATTCTACACTATAATATTTTATAATATATTACATCACATCTAAACTGAATCTGCCAAGATCTCAACATTCTGAAACTCGTGACTGTCACCACACAAACACACGGCCCTCATAGGCCAAGGAAACAAAATACCATCACTTTGAGTAAACAATCTCCCTATTGCATTCATATTTGCACAAACACAGGCACAGCAAACGATAAGAATTGTGTTTCCTTCCTCTGAGGTTCAGAGAATGTCAATCCCAGAAATATTCTTGGGAAGAATTGTGCCTTGCTTTTCTCTGTGGAGAGAAATGTGGCCACAAAATGCCAAATCACAGCGCAGGTTTGCCTCCAAGAGCAGAGCTCAGCAGCCTCAGCAGCCCCCAAAGGACAAATCCCCAAATGGTGTGGAGATTCCATGGGTATTTTCTGCTGAAAAGTTTGGGGTTTCCTCAGGGATAAGTCCCCTGAGGAGGGGACATCACTGAGGGGACAACACTGAGGGGACCCTCACAGGAGCAGCTCCCCTGGATCCTGCTGCTCTGCTTTTGCCTCAATGCACTCCTGAGGCTCTGAGCTCTGCTGCTTTAAATGCACCATGATGCCACAATAATCTGGGGATTAAAATCTTCTTCGTGCTTTCCTCATACCAGAAAAAATGGGGGTGGGGGAAAAATCCTCTTTTTAAGGCATTTAAATGAGCACAGCCATTCCAACAGAGCAGCCACCAAGCCTGGAATAGCTCCCAAACCTTTCCCATTTCTGCATTTTCAGACTCCCAGGATGCTTTAGAATGTAAAGATCATCCATGGACAGGGACATGGACACCTTCCACCATCCCAGGTGGCTCCAAGCCCTGTCCAACCTGGCCTTGGACACTTTCAGGGATCCAGGGGCAGCCCCAGCTTCTCTGGGAAATCCATTCCAGGGCCTCCCCACCCTCACAGGGAGAAATTTGTTCCAAATATCCCACCTAGCCCTGCCCTCTGGCAGTGGGAAGCCATTCCCTCTTGTCCTGGCACTCCATCCCTTGAAAATAATCTCTCCATCTTTCCTGCAGCTCTTTAGTCATCTCTGAGCTTCTCTTCTCCAGAACAATTTAAATTCTCTCAGCCTTTCCTTCTAAGTGAGTTGCTCCACGCTCGTCTCTGAACTCATTCCAACTGCTCCATGTTTTCCCCTGAGCTGGGGGTTCAGGAAAAGCTTCCTGAGCTCTGGAGGCAGCTCTGGATGCAGGGTTTCACCTGAGCAGGGCAGAAGTGCAAGGAACAAGCCCTGGCACCTGGAATCTCTCACAGGGAGCTGCAGATCCAGTCTGGGAATGCTGAGATCCCACCCACCACTGTGGGAACATCACTTCTGCCACCAGCAGCAGGGAGTAAAACCAGCTTTTTGTTAAAACCAGTGAGGTGAGGGAGTTTTTGAGCTCCTCTGCTTCCAAATGTTCTCACATTTTATGGCACAGAGATCAGGGTGGAGACATCCACTGCCCACATTTCCAGTAAATCCCTGAAGCAATGCTCCTGTCAGGAATTTGTGCTCTATCATCCATAATTGTTCCACCCCTTAAACATTTTAAAGGCCACAAGGGAAGCAGCAGCACAACCAAAGCTCCAGAGGGATCTGAGTGGCTGCTCTGGGGATTATCTGGGGATGTGCTGGGATGAGGGAGGGACTGCACACACAGAGCCAGTGCAAGGCCTGGAGCACTGCAGCCACCTTCTGCTGGCTCAGGGCACAGCCCACAGTGTCCAGATAACTCCATGGAGTCTTTCTCCAGCTTTTTAATTTTGGAAAAAGAGAGATGCTTCTCAGAGGTAATCCAAATGCAGCAGGTGAAAGAGAAGAATCTCTGGAATATCCGGAAAGGGACACACAAGGATCACCAAGTCCAACTCCTGGGACATCCCAAAATGCCACCACGTTCCTGGGTGCATTATCCAAACACTCCTTGGGCTCCGGCAGGGCTGTGAATGTCACCACTGCCCTCAGGAGCTGCTTAAGTGCTCAACTGGGGGAAGATTCCCCAAAATCCAGCCTAAATCTCCCCTGACACAACTCCAGCCATTCCTTCAAAAGGGAAGGCAAAGAAAAAAAACCTCCCCCTGCCTGTTTTAATTCTACAGAGTTTGGGACTGGAAAAGCAGGAGGAAAAGCCACTCACCCATCCTTCTTCTCAGGTTTGGGAGCAGCATTGGGACAACGCTTCCCGTTCTTGGTGGACACGTAGCTGCACTGTTTGAAGGGAGCATTCCTGTCCTCGAGGATGTGCTTGATGCAGAATTCCTGCCCCTCCAGGCGGGGCTGGGAGCAGGGCCGGGGGCTGAAGGAGCAGGCCAGGGGCTCCTGAGGCCGCGGCACCGGGGTCAGGCGGCCCCGGCTGGTCGGTAACACGTGAATGCGGATCCTGTTCATGCTGCAGAGCAAGGGAAGGGAGGGGAATGAAACGCTGATACAATGAAAAGTAGCAGCGGGGAAGAATTTCAATCTAATCTGAGCCCTTCAGCAGAAGATAAGGCTGCTCGTACGGAGGTAACTCCCAAAAATGCTGGAGGGAGCTTTGAGCCCTGCATGAATCTGGGGGGATCCTCTTCTCCCAGTGAACCCCCAATGCATCTCCTGGGTGCTCCCAGTGCCTCTATCCCGATGTGTCCCGGTGATTCGTCCTGCTCTGCCGCCCGTGTCCGTGCACGGCTCCGTACCGGGGCATCCCCGCTGCCCACCCAGCCCCAAGCACGCTCTATCCCGGTCCTTTCTGGGGCTCACCCCGCTCCATTCCCGCCTCCGTACCGGTATCCCCCAGTGCGCATCCCGGTCTGTCCTCGGGTGTGTTTCGGTGCCGATGTGAATCTATCCCCGTGTCTATCACGGTATAATCCAGCCTCTCTCCCGCTGCCCATCCTGATGTATCACCGTCTCTATCCTGATCTATCCCGGTCCATCCCAGCCCCTCTCCCGGTGCCCCTCCTGATCTATCCCGGTCCATCCCAACCCCTCTCCCGGTGCCCCTCCTGATCTATCCCGGTCCATCCCAGCCCCTCTCCCGGTGCCCCTCCTGATCTATCCCGGTCCATCCCAGCCCCTCTCCCGGTGCCCCTCCTGATCTATCCCGGTCCATCCCAGCCCCTCTCCCGGCGCCTGTCCCGGCGCTCTCCCGCCCGCGCACGTGCTCTGCCGCCCCGCTCCCGCGCATGCGCGCTCCTGCCGCCCAGGCGCCGCCATTTTGTCCGCGGGCGGCGGGAGTGAGGGGCACCCCTGAGGGGAGCCCAGGAAGCGCTACCGGAGCGGAGAGCGAGAGGAAACCCGCCCCCGGAACGGTGCAGGACAGATGAGCCCTGGAGGAGAACACAGGGGCCGCGCTGAGGGGCACACCGGGCCCCATTGTGAGCAGGAGGCGCCGCCGCCATCTTACCTCTCTGCCGCCGCGGCCTCCGCGCTGCCGCGCCGTGCGCCCGCCCCGCCTCCTCACTGGCCCGCCCATCCACCAATCAGCGGCGAGCACGGGGGCGTTCTCGCGCGTGATTGGCTCAGCTCGCCGTCACTCATGCTGGGAGAGACCACGCCTTCCTAGGGTCACGTGGGGGCGGCGCGGCGGGAACGCGACACGTGGGGGCGGCGGGAGCGGGGCGGGGGAACCGGGACGGGACCGGAACGGGACCCAGGGGAGAGAGGGGGTCCCGGGACAGGACGGGGGGGAGGAGATTACAGGGGCAGGGGTCCCGAGTCAGGACACCGGGGCGGGGGTCCCGGGACAGGGCTGGGGTGGGTCCTGGGGGAGAAGGGGTCCCGGGACAGGACCGGGGCAGATCCCGAGCCAGGACACCGGGGGAGAGGGGGGGTCCCGGGCCAGGACACCGGGGTGGAGGTCCCTGGATAGAACCAGGGTGAATCTAGGGCCAGGAACTGGAGGGAGGGGGTCCCGGGCCAGGACACTGGGGCGGGGGTCCCGGGGCAGATCCTGGGCCAGGACACCGGCCCCAAAACCAGGGGTGGAGAGGGGGAACGAGGCGGGACCGGGTGTGTGTTTTGGCCCCGGGTCAGGTGATGCTCAGGGCTCGGTCCCACAGCACCACCCTGGCCCCCCCCCAGCATCACTCGGTGCCCTCCTGGTTTCCGGAGCCCGCCATGAACCGACAGAGCCGCGACATCCCAGGAGGAGCCGCCTCCAAGAGGGGCTCCAAAAGAGGAAAGGGAAGCAAGGGATGGGCCTGAAATCCAAGAATTGGTCCCAAAACTGGACCAAATAGGTGCCCAGATCCTTGGAGGGGGTTTGGTAGCAGCAATTCCTCCTAAAATCAAGCTCGAGGTGGAACAAGAGTTTCCCAAAAGCATCCAGAGACCACCCATTTATTGAAGGTCAGAAAAGTCAAGTCTAAAAACGAAAGGAAATAGGGCTTTTTTCCTCAAATATTCAACCCTAACCCTGGCAGGTCCCCTGGCCCTGGGCTGAGGTTTCAGGAGGAGCTGCTTCCAGCTCAGCTGGGCACAGCCATGTGCCAATTGATTCCCTGAAGGGCTGCCCCGGGCATGGTGCCTACAGGACCAGCCTGGCACTTTCTCATCCCAGATCCCAGTGGGAATCCTGGATTTTTCCAGAGGAAATCCAGGGATCTGCAGGAAGGGAGCAAGGGATGGAGACAGAATCTCAAAGCAGAACAGGTGCAGGGGGCAAGGAAACACAACCCAGCTCCCATCCCTCCATCACCCCAAAAACTCAACACCAATGCCTCAAATGGAACCTCCCCCAAAAGTCCCCCCAGGCTCTACCACAGCCCCTCGAAATTAAAAGGAACCAAACCACTGAGATATAAGTTAATGCTTAAATTATTTGTAAAACATCTTAAATTTTCTGTGACATATTTTAAATATCCCCCATGTTCCCCAGATGGGGGGGTCAAAGCCCAACACTAACTGGGAGCCTATGGGGGAAAAAGGGAGGAATAGAGAAAGGGTTCCTTATCCTTTCACAGCTTTTAACAACTAAATATCAATAATAAAAGTTATATTATAATAAAATAAGTTCTTCGTGAGGCAGTGGAGATCAAAAAGCCCTTAGAAAAGCCCCGCAGGGTTCGGGCTCGGGCTCTGGACTCAGTAGTAAAAAGGGGGAGGGGTTATTTGGGGAGGGGAGGCAGCGGAGGGGGCGGTTCCGAGGGCAGAGGGGGCGGTCGGGGCTTGTCCGTGTTGCTGGCAGCTCTGGAGCCGCTGGAAGCCCGGGGGTTCAGAAGCTCGTACGAGTGGAATTCGAAGGCTGGGGGCTGCGTGGGCTGCATGCCCTGAGCGCTCAGCAGCGAGTGCAGCATGTTCACCGTGTCCTGATAGTCACTGGCCTGGCTGACGTTGTGCCCGTTGGCCCCCGAGGGCCCCTTGTCCGATTTGTGAGCGCCCCGAGCTTTGCCGGGCTGCGCTAAATCCGAGCTGTGCCCGGCCAGATGGGCAGCCCCGGCCAGGTGGGCATACGGGAACGGCACTCCGGGCCCTTTGGAGACTTTGCCCACCTTGGGCTGGTGCTCGTGGGGCATGGCAGGGGGCTCCTCGGGCAGGGGTCTTTTGCGGGTGGGTGCCAGGGGCCCGTAGCCCTTGTGGGGGGCGGCGGCAGCGCCAGGTTGGGCGCCGTGTTTGGAGTCCCCCGGGCGCTTGGGCGCGGTGCTGGGGCCGGCGCCGAGCTGGGCGTGCAAGTGTTTGTGCGAGTGGTGGTTGTGGTGGTGGTGGTGGTGGTTGGATGAGTGGCCCTTGTGCTTCTCTTTGTACTCCCTGCTCTTGCCGCTGCTGCTGCTGCTGCTCTCATCTGCAGAGCTGTGTCTGTCTCCGGGAGCCGGCACTTTGAGCCGCATCTTGATATCCTCCTGCTTGGAGGGGATGGGCCTCTCCCCGCCTCCCGCCACCGCCGGGATCCTCATCTTGAGAGCTTTGTCGCCCTTGTCGGCGCCGCCTGGGTTCTCCTGCCCCGTGCTGGGGATTTTCAGGACGATTGGGGAGGGATTGCTGTCCTGCTGCCCTTCCCTCTCCCTCTGCTGCTGCACCAGGAGGTTTTGAGCGGCGTAGGCGTATTGGGAGCGCACGTTTGCCTCCATATTCTCCAGCTGCCGCTTCTGCGCCGCCAATTCCTCGGCGTGCTTGGCCCGGTATTCCTTAAGGGACACCTTGGCCGAGGGCGGGTTCTTGGTGCTCTGCTTGGGGTAGGCAGCAGCACCATCCTGCTGCTGGTGCTCAGTGCCTGATGTGGCCTCGTTAGTCCTGTGGATGTCCAGCTTGGCCGGGGGGTGCCAATGATCGGCCTGGGATGGGTCGGCGGCGCTCGGCTCGCCGGGGGAATCGGTGGAGGCCGGGAGAGCCGGCCCCGCTCCGGCCGTGGAGGATGTGGACATGCTCATGAGGCCGGCGATGTTCATGTCCGAGCTGTTGTTCCTGGAGATCATGTTGAGGATTGTCTGCTCCGACAGGTTCTCGTCATCACCGTGGTCGTCGGTTTTGGATTTCCTGGCTGCTTGAGAGGCCTGGAATTAAACAGATCAGTGGGTGTTTACTCAGGGGTGTTGATGGAGTTGGGGTAATCCAAGCAGCTCAGCAGGACAGTGCAAGGTCTTCTTTACAGACAGATCCACTCTGCTCCCATCCCTCCTTGTGGAAAAATTCCCAACCCCTGGAAGCAGGGCTGCTAATGCAGCTGGAAAACCAAAGTTCTGTACAAGTTAAATCACAACAGATGAACTTCAGCATCACCCACAGTATCCAAATTTCACACACAATTTCTGTACAAGTTAAATCACAACAAATGAACTCAAGCACTACAGGCATCACCCAGTATACAAATTCCACACACAATTTCTGTACAAGTTAAATCACAACAGATAAACTCGAGCACCACACACAATATCCCAATTCCACACACAATTTCTCTATAGGTTAATTCAAAACAGATGAACTCGAGCACCACGAGCATCACACACAGTGTCGCAATTCCACACACAATTTCTGTACAATTTCTGTACAAGTTAAATCACAACTGATGAACTTCAGCACCACACACAGTATCCCAATTCCACACACAATTTCTGTACAAATGACAACAGATGAACTTCAGCACTGCAAGCATCACCCACAGTATCCCAATTCCACACACAATTTCTGTGCAAGTTAAATCACAACAGATGAACTCGAGCACCACGAGCACCACACACAGTGTCCCAATTCCACACACAATTTCTGTACAGGTTAATTCAAAACAGATGAACTTGAGCACCACGAGCATCACACACAGTGTCCCAATTCCACACACAATTTCTGTACAGGTTAATTCAAAACAGATGAACTTGAGCACCACGAGCATCACACACAGTGTCGCAATTCCACACACAATTTTTGTACAATTTCTGTACAAGTTAAATCACAACTGATGAACTTCAGCATCACCCACAGTATCCAAATTCCATACACAATTTCTGTACAAGTTAAATCACAACTGATGAACTTCAGCACCACACACAGTATCCCAATTCCACACACAAGTTCTGTACAAATCACAACAGATGAACTCGAGCACCGCAAGCATCACCCACAGTATCCCAATTCCACACACAATTTCTGTGCAAGTTAAATCACAACAGATGAACTCAAGCACTACAAGCATCACCCAGTATACAAATTCCACACACAATTTTTGTACAAGTTCTGTACAAGATAAATCACAACTGATGAACTTCAGCACCACACACAGTATCCAAATTCCTCACACAATTTCTGTGCAAGTTAAATCACAACAGATGAACTCAAGCACTACAAGCATCACCCAGTATACAAATTCCACACACAATTTCTGTACAAGTTCTATCACAACTGATGAACTTCAGCACCATCCACAGTATCCCAATCCCACACACAGCTCCCTCCCTTGCTGTCCTGCACGGTGATTCCCCAAGGAATCCCAGCCTGTGGCCGAGGTTCTTACCCGCCAGTTGCGGATCCGTTTCAGCCGGCTGGGAGTTTTCTCAAGGATCTGCAGGAATTCATGAGTCAGTTCTGCAGAGGAGACACAAAGCCAAGCAGGAGGGTCAGAACAGCCCCGGTCCAGCAGGACAAACCCCCTCATCTGCCACATGGAGCTACTGGTGGGATGGAGCTGCGCCAGGAGGGACATCCTGACAACCTGACCCGTTCAAACTCATTCTTCTGTGGTGCTACAGAAGCTGCTGCTGCTGGAAAACCTCACCAAGCCCTGAAACTCCTGGAGAGCCCATGAGGTGACGTTGCAACCATCAGACCCAGGACCAACGATGCCAAAATCATTTTTTTTTTTAAGCTGCCTTTTGCAGGGGGGAGGAAAAAAAAAACACAACACCTCTCTCCCAAACTTACCATCTAAGAGCTCCAGAGTTACAGTGCCATCAACGTACTCCCACCAGTGCTTGCCGTCCGTGGAGACTGGGATCTCCCAGTTGGACCACTTACAGGCCAGGTGGATACAGACGCAGGCCACAACGGGAGGGGTGTACTGCAGGCTGAAGGTGGTCAGGTGCAGGCTGACGTCACCGGGAGAGAAAACAAAAATCCATCAACTCCCACGCCTGAGCTGCAGATCCACGCGGGATTTTGGGGGGGATGCAGCCCTCTGGAGCACCCCAGAAGGACCCTGGGGCACAGGCAGCTCCATCCCGCTCCAGCACAGCTTGGTTGGGCTTGTTTTCAAACAGGGAGTTTGGGTTTTCCTTCTCTCCAACAGGTTTTGTGTAGAGGTAATTTGGGAGATTTTCTGAGAGGGGAAAGTCACTGGGGATCTGCAGAGAAACTCATCCTTGTTTTGCTGCAGGAAATTTGGGATCTCCTCCACCAGTTTCCTTGTTTATCCCTCTTTTGATACAGGAAATTTGGGATTCCCCTCCAAGGAGGAGAAGTCACTGAGGACCAGCCTCACCTCTGCTCATGAAGAGAAATCTGTCCATTTTTTTGCTCATCCCCGTTTTGTTACAGGGAGTTTGGGTTCTCCTTCTCTCCACCAGGTTTTGGGTAGAGGTAATTTGGGAGATTTTCTGAGAGGGGAAAGTCATCACTGGGGATCTGCAGAGAAACTCATCCTTGTTTTGATGCAGGAAATTTGGGATCTCCTCCATCAATTTCCCTGTTTTACTACAGGAAATTTGGGATCTCCTCCAAAAGAAAGAAAATCAGTCACCCCACCAACCTCTGAGGTCACCCCACCAACCTCTGCTCTGAGGAGAAACACATCCCTGTTTTACTGCAGGAAATTCGGGACCTCCTCCACCAATTTCCCTGTTCATCTTTCTTTTCATGAAAGAAATTTGGGATCTCCTCCAAAAGAAAGAAAATCAGCGCTGAGGTCACCCCAACCAACCTCTGCTCTGAGGAGAAACTCATCCTTGTTTTACTGCAAAAAATTTGGGATCTCTTCCACCAATTTCCCTCTTTTGATACAGGAAATTTGGCATTCCCCTCCAAAGGGGAAAAATCACTGGGGACCAGCCCCAGCTCTGCCCATGAAGAGAAATTTGTCTGGTTTTTTTGCTCATCCCCATTTTGTTACAGGAAATTTGGGATCTCCTCCATCAATTTCCCTATCTATCTCTGTTTTGATGCAGGAAATTTGGGATCTCCTCCACCAATTTCCCTGTTTTACTACAGGAAATTTGGGAACTCCTCCTAAAGAAAGAAAATCAGTCACCCCACCAAGCTCTGAGGTCACCCCACCAAACTCTGCTCTGAGGAGAAACACATCCCTGTTTTGTTACAGGAAATTCGGGACCTCCTCCACCAGTTTCCCTGTTTATCCCTCTTTTGATGCAGGAAATTTGGGATCTCCTCCACCAATTTCCCTGTTCATCTCTCTTTTCATGAAAGAAATTTGGGATCTCCTCCAAAAGAAAGAAAATCAGCGCTGAGGTCACCCCAACCAACCTCTGCTCTGAGGAGAAACTCATCCTTGTTTTACTGCAGGAAATTTGGGATCTCTCCCACCAATTTCATTGTTTTAGTACAGGAAATTTGGGATCTCTTCCACCATTTCCCTCTTTTGATGCAGGAAATTTGGGATTTCCCTCCAAAGGGGAAAAATCACTGGGCATCAGCCACACCTCTGCTCATGAAGAGAAATTTGTCAGTTTTTTCGCTCATCCCTGTTTTGCTACAGGAAAGTTGGAATTTTCTCCATCTCTGGTCATTCTTGGTTTGCTACAGAAAAATTTGGCATCTCCTCCATTTCCTCGTTGATCCCTGCTTTGCTACAGAAAATTTGGGATCTCCAAGGACTAAAATCAGTCCTGGGGTCACCTGCCAGCCCCACCTCTGCTCTGAGGAGAAAAATTCCAAGCACAACTCCCAGATGGCATCCAAGGAGCAGCTTCAGGAAGGGTCTGTTCCCTCCCAAAGGATTTTTAGGAGTACGGTCAAAAGAACCTGAGACAGGTTATCTATGAAATATTTTCATTAATAAATTGATTTTCCACGTGGCCATGAGTGCTGGGAGTGTGTGGGCAGCACCAGCACCAGAACTGAGGGATTACGAGGACACCAGAGCTTAAGAAAACACAGAAACCAAATCTTGAATGTGGGATTTGCCCACTCCTGGATGGGCCCTTTGGGAATTTCTCCACCATCTCACCACCTTATTCATCAGTGAAAAGTGGAGAGGTTGAAGTTTGGCATCTACAATCAAAAGTCCTCAAGTTTTATGGATTCTGGGTTTATCCAGAGAAATTCAGAACCTTGGGAGAGAGAAATTCAAGGACAACAAAGAGCCTCAACCCTGCCAGAATGAAACCAAAAGGAACACAAGGATTACTTCAAGTTCATGCCAGAACTGGTTTTCTCAGGTAAAACTAAAGCTCTTCTCACACTTTCTGCCTGGATTTCCCTCAATTACAGCCTTAACTCCTTAATCCCATGGCTTTGAAATTCTGGCTGCAGGGATAAACCAGGGTTTAGGGCTGTGTTTACCCAAATATCAGCAGCAGCACGTTCCTGAGGGTGGAAATGCACAGGGTGCCCTTTGGAGCACAAAACACCTTCAACAAACACTGAAGGTGAGCAGGAAACACCTCCCAGGTGGGAAAGGAAAATCACATTCCCAGACTGAGCTTGGAAGCACCTAAACCACTTTTCCCTGAGTAATTTCCTAAAAATTCAGTGTTTTTCATGTCTGTTTGTCTGTTCCAAACATGATAATCCAGGAAATTCAAATTAGAAATAATCCTAACAAAAGTGATGGCATCAGGCTGGCAATGAAGTTTTAGGGAGGCATCTCCAGCCCTGCAGCTTCACCTGTGCTGGCACCTAAACCACTTTTCCCTGAATTTCCTAAAAATTCAGTGTTTTTCATGTCTGTTTGTTTGTTCCAAACATGAACTCCATGATTTGTCTGGAGCTGATAATCCAGGAATTAAATTTAGAAATAATCCTAAAAAAAGTGATGGCATCAGGCTGGCAGTGAATATTTAGGGAGGCATCTCCAGCCCTGCAGTTTCACTTGTGTTGGCACCTAAACCACTTTTCCCTCTGTAATTTCGTAAAAATTCAGGGTTTTTTATGTCTGTCCCAAACATAAACTCCATGATTTGTCTGGATCTGATAATCCAAGAAATTCAATTTAGAAATAATCCTAACAAAAGTGATGCCATCAGGCTGGCAATGAAAATTTAGGTTGGAATCTCCAGCCCTGCAGCTTCACCTGTGTTGGCACCTAAACCACTTTTCCCTGAATTTCCTAAAAATTCTGTGTTTTTCATGGCTGTTCCAAACATAAACTCAATTTGTCTGAAGATGATAATCTAGGAAATTCAATTTAGAAATAATCCTAATTAAAGTGATGCCATCAGGCTGGCAATGAAGTTTTAGGGAGGCATCTCCAGCCCTGCAGCTTCACCTGTGTTGGCACCTAAAACACTTTTCCCTGAATTTCCTAAAAATTCTGTGTTTTTCATGTTTGTTCCAAACATAAATTCCATTTGTCTGAAGATGATAATCCAGGAATTAAATTTAGAAATAATCTCAACAAAAGTGCTGCCATCAGGTTGGCAATGAAAATTTAGGGAGGCATCTCCAGCCTGCGTTGGCACTTAAATCACTTTTCCCTGAGTAATTTTCTAAAAATTCAGTGTTTTTCATATCTGTTTGTTTGTTCCAAACATGAACTCCATGATTTGTCTGGATCTGATAATCCAATAAATTAAATTTAGAAATAATCCTAATAAAAGTGATGCCATCAGGCTGGCAGTGAAAATTTAGGTTGGAATCTCCAGTCCTGCAGTTTCACCTGTGTTGGCACCTAAACCACTTTTCCCTGAATTTCCTAAAAATTCTGTGTTTTTCATGGCTGTTCCAAACATAAATTCCATTTGTCTGAAGATGATAATCCAGGAAATTCAATTTAGAAATAATCCTAATAAAAGTAATAATTTTATTTATTAATTTAATTAATAATTAATTAAATTAAAATTTAATTAATAATTAAATTTAGTAATAATCCTAATAAAATCCTGGCATCAAGCTGGCAGTGAAAATTTAGGAACAAAACAAAGCAAAGAATGAATCTGGGGCTGATTTTCCTTTCCAGGGAAAATTGAAGGATAAAACAAGAAGAACTAAGAATTTAAGGCTGATTTTCCTTTCCAGGGAAAATTTAGGGACAAAACAACCCAAAATAAGAACTTAGGAGTGATTTTTCTTTCCAGGGAAAACTTAGGGGTACAACAACCCATACAAAAAATTTGAGCTTGATTTTTTTTCATCATTTATGCCCCAGATCAGCCTTTTTTTTTGGGGTACAAACCATATTTGTGGCCAATTTCCACAGCACCTTCTTGAGTGAAAACTCTCCAACACCCAGGAATAAGCAAGAAAATATTTATATGCTCATTTCCCCCTCAATCTTTTTGATTTGTTTGGGGTTTTTTTTTTGCAAACTTTCACATCTAAACTCCTATTAAATAAGCAGTGAAGCTCCTGATTATCCCATCTGCCTTATTTTCCAGCTCATTTTACCCAGCAGCTGGCAGGAAAAATGGTTGGAACCTTTCCTTAAGGCTCTTCCTGTGGGATTCCCAGCTGAGCAATGCCTCTGGAGCAAGCAAGATAAATGATCAACCAATTATAAAATTATAAAATAATAACCTGTTTGTAGCCATGAAATAGGAAGTTTGTGCCAAGTCCTTGCTGGCTGCAAGAAAAAAAAAATAAAAATAAGAACAATCAGGGTGTTATTTGCATAATTTTCATGTTTTTTTAGTGCAAGAATCATGGGCCACCCACAGACTGACCAGGCCACAGCCACGAGGATTTGGGGAATTGCTGCTCACTGACAGTTTTGTGTGGTTCAGAAGAGTCTAAAAACCAAATAAAAATGCCTGAATCATCTAAAAATGCCTTTATTTTGAGAATCAGAGGGATGGAGCAGTTCTCCTGGGAGGAAAATCTGGGAAAATTGGGATTTTTCAGCTCTGGGGTGACCCTGTTGTGGCTTTTAATGTTCCAATAAGCTGAAGTGGGACTCTGGATGGGATCTGGAGTGGCAGGACTGGTTTTTCACTTGGAAAAGATAAAGATAAAATGGGAATTTGGGAAGAAATCCCTCCCTGTGAGGGATCCCTTTGAGAATCAGAGGGATGGATCAGCTCTCCTGGGAAGAAAAGCTGGGAAAATTGGGAATTTTCAGCCTGGAAAAGGCTCTGGGGTGACCCTGTTGTGGCTTTTCATGTTCCAAGGGAGCTGAAGTGGCACTCTCGAGTGGCAGGAATGGTTTTTCACTTGGAAAAGACAAAAATAAAATGGGAAATTGGGAAGAAATCCCTCTCTGTGAGGGATCCCTTTTAGAATCAGAGGGATGGAGCAGTTTTCCTGGGAGAATTGGGAATTTTCAGCCTGGAAAAGGCTCTGGGGTGACCCTGTTGTGGCTTTTCAGATTCCAAGAGAACTGAAGTGGGACACTCGAGTGGCAGGAATGGTTTTTCACTTGGAAAAGGGAGAATAAAATGGGAAATTGGGAAGAAATCCCTGTGAGGGTGGGGAGGCCCTGACTGCCCATAGAAGCTGTGGCTGCCCCATCTCTAGAAGTGTTCAAGGCCAAACTGCAACAACCAAGAGAAGTGGGAATTGTCCTTGCCCTCCCAACCCAACCCATTCCAGGTTCTGGGAAGCTCTGGAGCAATCCCAGCTGGAAAATTCCCCATATTTCCCTCCCAATTCCCTCTCACCTCGGACAAGCTGGGTGCACTTCACCACATGGGTGTGAGGATGGTCAATGGTGATCTCAAAGCCTGGAAGGACACAGACAAAGATCCATCAGAACCTGGATTTGTGTTTTCCTGCCTCCCTTCCCTCCCACAGCCCTGCAGGAATAGAGGAACCCATTTTTCCTGTATCCAGAAGCCTCAAATTTGTCCAGCTACAAACTCAGAAAGTTTTCTGCTGCTGCCAGACCTCCCAGCTTCTGAAAGGCCTCACTGGAAACAAAACAACTTCATTAAAGAATTTTAAAAATAGCAAGACAAAAGCCTCTTGAAGCAGCTGGGAGGAAGGCAAAGACAATGGCATCTGCTCCAAGGGATTTCTCTCACCCAAAAAGCTGAGAGGAAGCAGATTTGTTTTCCCTTTGAATGGGCCTAAAGCATTGAGGACAACTGAGTTTAATCCTGGCTCCTGCTTCCTCCTCACTTTGGGAATTCTGTTTGAAAAAGGGAAAAAAAAAAAAAAAAATCCAACTGGTCCATGTGCACAGCAGATCTGCAGAATGTTCTGGGAGAATTTGGGGGTTTTAAAAAGGCCCCTGGAGAATTGAGAGGCTCCAGAATTGGGCTGGGTTTAGGCACAGGTT